ACACACGTATGTGCCCAGTGTGAGTTTCAAGCCACCAGGTCCAGGACTGGAACCACGGTTGGCCATGTGGGAATCCAGCACCTTAACCACTATGCCACCTGCTGGCCTTTGAAACGTGCTTTAATGTGAAAATACATTCCAAATATACCCACACTGCACCCGTTCCATACAGATTACATCCTTGGGGGCAGGTGGAATGGGAAAAGAACGCATTCATCGTCACTTGGATTGGAATGGGCATTTCCTCCAGGCAGCGGGGAACCTGTCCCTGGAGGTCCAGAGCTGCCATGACCTAGTGACGCACCACTGGCTTTAGAAATGAGCAAAGGTCAGGGAAGGTGAAAGTGAGGCCGACCTGACCGGCCACTGCACACAATGGGGCAGTGGTAGTACTCACTGGGAAACCACAGGACGGAGTGAGGAGCGGATGACTTTTGAGGGTACAAGGAATAGCAGTGCCAAGTAGGAACGTGTGACTAGGTGGAAAGAAAAGGATGTCTTCAAATTTCCATGGGAATGCTGACATTTCCTAACCAAGGCCCAGGCTTAGTTACTATGGTATCCTAACTGACATTTGCGCCTGATTACTGCTGGGCTAGCAGATCACCCTTTAGTCAAATATACACTGGGCATGTGCAGGCCAGGCCCCATCTCCAGGAGCACAGAAGTTAACAAAAAGCTGTGGCTTCACGGGGCTTTTTTTTTTTTTTTTGGAGAGGTTTTTGCTATAGGGCGCATGCATTCGCCAGACAGACAGAGACAGAGAAAAGGGAGAAATCACCCCCCAGGGGGGATGGCCATGCTGCAATCCCTTTCCCTCCACTCTCCTCTCGGGATCTTGGGCACACATGCACACGCGCCTGGTGTGAGTTTAAGCCACCGGGTCCGGGACTCGAATTATGGTCGACTACGTGAAAGTCCACCAACATAGCCATTATGCCAACCACTGGTCCCCCTCTTGCCTTCTTCCAAAAAGGAAGGATTTCTATCTTAACATTTCTATCTCAGCTCACCCTCAGCATCCTCGCGAGAGAGACTCTGAGGCGGCCAGCAGGGTGGGGAGGGCTGGCCTGACTGCACAGAGCGCTCTGGGTAAGCCCTCATTACAGGACTGGTCAAACCTGGCCTTTCCTGTGTTCAGCAGCTGTAATGTAGGACTGGAGAAGAATCTCACCTTCATTTACATTTTCATTTTTTTTAACTGCCAGAGGAAATGTGTGCTTGTACACACACGCACATAAAAGGGAGAAAGAGAGAAAGATAGAGGGAGAAAATGCCCCTCATAGGGCACGATCACATCACAATCCTTTTTCCTTCTTTCCTCCTTCTTGTCAGAATTTTGGACATGCACGTGCAAGTGCCCACTGTGCTTCCCAAGCCAAGGCCAGGATTTGAACGACAGTCACATGGACCCACCTCTCTCAATTTTTTTTTTTTTTTGGAGTTTTCTGCCATAGGGCACGTGCACTCGCCAGACAGAGAGACAGAGAGCGAGAAATCACTTCCCAGGGGGGATGGCCACGCCGCAATCCCTTCTCCTCCATTCTCCTCTCGGACGCATACCCCCAGGGGTAGTTTTAAAGCCACTGGGTCCAGGACTCGAACTGCAGTCAACTACATGGGAGTCCAGCGACATAGCCATTATGCTAACTGCTGGTCCCCTCACCTCTCTTTTAACACTGAGCTACCAGGTTGGCCCTTGACTTATCTAGCTAACCCCTCCCCCTAAAAAAAGAAAAAATTCCCTGGATGGTGGCAAGTTTTGGCACAAGAGCATCTAATAGTTTTTGATTGGTACAGATTATATACAACCCCAAGTTTGGGACTTAATAATTATTTTCATTTATTTGCTATATGGCACGTGTACTCAGTGCTCACCAGGGAGAAACAGAGATGGGGAGAGAAAGAGAGAAAACACCCAGAGGGGATGGCCATGTCATAATCCCTTGTCTTCCACTTCTCCTCTCAGGACTTTGGGCATGCACGCACACGTGGCCAGTGTGACTTTCAGGGTGCTGGGACCAGGACACGAATCACGGAGTCTGCCATGTGGAATCCAGAGCCTTAACTACCACACCACCTGCTGGCCCTGTTTTCTTTTTGTTTTTGCAGTGGTTTTTGCTATAGGGCACGTGCACTCGCCAGAAAGACAGAGACAGAGAGACAGAAAGCGAGAAATCACCCCCCAGGGGGGATGGCCACACCACAATCCCTTCTCCTCCGTACTCCTCTCGGGATCTTGGGCACGTATGCACACGCACCCGGCATGAGTTTAAGCCATTGGGTGTGGGACTCGAACCGCAGTCAACTACATGGGAGTCCAGTGACATAGCCATTATGATAACTGCTGGTCCGTTTTTTTTTATTTTTATAAAAGTTTTATTTATCCTGACAGAGACGCACAGATAGACAGGGTCCTGATGCTGCAGTCTATCCCCAAGCTCACAGAGCCCGGGTCACAGGCAAGTGCTTTTTTGTTTTTGGAGAGATTTTCGCTATAAGGGCGCGTGTGCTCGCCAGACAGAGAGAGACAGAGACAGAAAGCGAGAAATCACCCCCCAAGGGGGATGGTCACGCCGCAATCCCTTCTTCTCCATTCTCCTCTCGGGATCTTGGGCATGCACGCACACGCGCCCGGCATGAGTTTTAAGCCACCGGGTCCGGGACACGAACCGCGGTAGACTACGTGGGAGTCCAGCGACATAGCCATGACGCTAACTGCTGGTTCCCTACAGGCAAGTGCGTACACAGCATACTGGAGATGTTTCCTGACATGAAGCAGCAGACGTCCTGTGTCGGGTCAACCTTGCAGCGCGTCATGTTTTACCACCACCTGGCCCAACCCTAAGTCCGCGAATATAAAAAAAGAAAAAAACAAAACAAAATAAAAAACTACCACAAGGGTCAAGGACAAGTCCAGGAAAAAAAACAGCAAAAATTCCTCTTGGTTTTGGGCACAGCACTCTGCCCACTTTGTCATTTGGTGCAGAAAAGGATGTCTGAGCTGGAAGCCACGCAGACTTTCACGGAAATATGCTTGACTTTTGTGGAAAGGCAACCTAGAATGAAAGAGCATGCTTTAATTTTCTTTATTTTAGGAACAACGACGACAAAAGTGAAAGGCTGAAGATGGTTACTCATTTTACGAAGTTTTCCTCATGGAAACTAACCATTAATAACCTGTTATTAATGCCACAATAAGAGCTGGCCATCATTGGTATCATTTTAGGGAAAAAATGCTTCTTGATTCCTGCTATAAAAGTTGATTGACCTTTTCTTTTCTTTTTTCTTTTTTCTTTTTTTGCTATAAGGTGCATACATTCGGAGGAGGGACAGAGAGGGAGGGAAACTGAGAAATCACCCCTCACGGGGGATGGCCACACTGCAATCCCTTCTCCTCTCAGGATTTTGGGCACACGGGTGCCCATTGTGTTTTTCAAACCACTGGGTCCAGGACTCAAATTGTGCAGTTGGTCATGTGGGAATCCAGTGCCTAGATCCCACCTGGTTGGCCCAAGATAACTTTTTTTTTTTAAAATAATTATTTATTTAATTTTATTTATTTATTCATTAGTTCATTTTATTTTATTTTAATTTGACCAGAGAAAGACATAGAGAAAGAGAGAGAGAAAGTGAAAAAGCAAACCACCACGTCTGGGACTCGAACCATGGTTGGCTATGTGGGAGTGTCCAGCGCCTTAACCACCACGCCACCTGCTGGTTCCCGATAACTGACTTTTTTTAAAAAAAACGTTTATTTTGGGGGACAGCAGGTGGTTCAGTGGTTAAGGTGCAGGACTCCCACATGGCTGACCACAATTTGAGTCCCAGTGGCTTGAAAATCATGCCAGGCATATGTGCACATGTGTGCAGAATTCTAGAAGGAGAATGGAAGAGAAGGGACTGTGCCGTGGCCATCTCCCTGAGGGGGAGATTTCTCACTTTCTCTCTGGCTCTGTGTCTCTCCCATGAGAGCATGTGCCCTCTGGCAAACATCTTTGAAGAAAAGTTGCTTTCTTCCATGAGTGAGTGAGAGACTTGTACCTCAAGGCCTTGATGCTGCAATCCACTCCTAGCCCTGCAATCCAGCCCTAGCTTGGGCCAGACTTGGATGCAGGGCACGTGTACGCCCAGCACACTCAGGTCTGAACCCAGAACATTCCCATGCGGGTCCGTTTTGCAGGGCGTTGGCTTTACCATGGTGCCACTGCCCAGCCCCTGGTGAGGAGACCAATGCAGTGACTTCACGTGTGTTTAGGCAAAGCTGCCAGGGAGCTGACGTTCAATTACTTCACATCTCACACATCTGAGAACCACTCCTTAGGGACACAGACAGACAAAACTCAGCGGTCTTTCTTTGAAACTGTGAGGCTGTAGGGAGACTTCAGATGAGTCTGCTGTGTGTTCATTCTGGCCTCACACAGAGAACAGACATCGACGACATGAGGCCATCCTGCCCTTACTTCGTATCACATGCCTAAACTCACCTCAGGCCTTCCTCTCAGGGCTCTGTCTCGCAGGCTCCTTTGACTCCAGCTTTTGATGCTGGAGATGGAGGCTGTCCAGCTTCTGCAGATCGGCTGTAAGACCGTTCCTAAGATCCTCGTTGTTTCTCAGGAATTCCTTCACTACTTCCAGTTGTTTTGAGACCTGCAAGAGGAAGCCATGCAATGAACAGTTTAGATCATTTTACAGCAAACGTTAATTTTTATTATTTTATTAATTGTAATTTGCTATTATTATTATTATTATTATTTTAATTTGATGTGAGAGAGAAAGGGAAAGTGAGAGCACAAACTGCCAGGTCCGAGACTCGAACCGTGGTCAGCCATGTGGGAGTCCAGCACCTTAACCACCATGCCACTTGCTGGCCCTTTTATGATTTTTTTAGAGAGATTTTCGCTATAGGGTGCGTGCATTTGCCAGAAAGATAGAGAAAGAGAAAAAGCGAGAAATCACCCCCAAGGGGGGGATGGCCACACCACAATCCCTTCTCCTCCATTCCCGTCAGAATTTTGGGCACACATGCGCGTGTGTCTGCTGTGAGTTTTAAGCTGCCAGGTTTGGGACTCCCAACTGTGGTTGACTACGTGGGAGTCCAGAGACAAAACCATTATGCTATCTGCTGGCCCCAATATAGCAGACTTTTAATTAAAATGAAAACTTACTAGTTCTCAAACTGGTTTCTGCTCTTGTACCCACCAAGAGATAGATATCTTGGCTCTGGGCAGCTCTACTCAGACAGGTTAAGCTTAGAAAACCCAAATCAAAACAAAGCCTTTAAAACAAAGCATTCTTCCCTCAAACAAAACATGACCCAGGATAGGTAGTTCTGGGACTACTTGAGGGGGTTTGCTCGACTTCTCAAAATTTTTTGGCTTTACATTTTTCTGCACTTGGGGGACCAGCAGTTGGCATAATGGCTGTGTTGCTGGACTCCCATGTAGTCAACCGTGGTTTGAGTCCCGGACCTGGTAGCTTAAACTCACACCGGGTGCATGTGCATACATGTCCAAGATCCTGAGAGGAGAGTGGAGGAGAAGGGATTGTGGTGTGGCCATCCCCCCTGGGGGTGATTTCTTGCTTTCTGTCTCTCTGTCTTTCTGGCGAGTGCACGTGCCCTATAGTGAAAACCTCTCCAAGATAAAAAAGAAACTTCAGCACTTGGGCCAGTCCAGGCATGGTAGTTAAGGCAGCTGGATCCCACGTAGCCAATGGCAAAGATTGAATCCTGGACACAGCATACTGAGAAACACGCCAGTTACACATGCATGCCCCAAATACCCAAAACAGGGAGAAATGGAGAAGGAACTATAATATGGCATCTCCCAGAGAAGTGCTTTCTCATTCTCCCTCCTCCCTGTCTCGCTCTGGTGAGTATGTGTACCCTCTGGCAAAAAACAAACAAACAAATAAAAAACAACCAGTTTAAAAAACAAAACAAACCTTCCTGTACTTTCATGTACATACATGTTTGTGGCGATATTTTTAAAAATCAACAAAATGAACTCCTTTCATTTTCAACTGTGTACCTATAAATTTACTATTAAGCATATGTATGTGTGTGACGTATCGGGTCATTGGAAAAGTCATGATGCATATTTGCGTAGAAAAACGTAAAAAAGCACAGCATGACTTTTCCGATGACCAAATACATTAAGTCTTTTCATTGTGAATTTTGACCTGTACATCTACTACCATTAAGATATCTAGACATATATGTGTATGTGTATACCTAGCTCCTCTCCCTTGAGGTGATCGTAAATTAACGTGCTCGCATGTAAATATCTCTAGAGACATTAACATGTGAGCAGAGATATTTACGTGTGAGCGTGTGTCTATACACACTTTTTAAAACATAAATGAGAGCACAGTAGACACTATTTTTCAACTGATCTTTTCTTATGAGATTAGTAAGAGTGGCCTCATTATCTTTTTTTTTATTTAAATTTATTTGTTTATGTTCATTCACTGTACATCATTACAGCATACAAAATGAGATTTTCCATCCAGAGTACACTGTATATTGTCTCAATCGAGCACATCAACAAACATGTTATTATTAGCAAATGATCTTCCATTTCTTGTTTCCTGTATGTTTTGCTCCCCCCCCATCCTTGGTTCCCTATCTCTGCCATCTCCCACTCTCTTCCCACACTGTCTCTGGTATCTATGTTTGCTTTCTATACTGTTTCCCCCCATTTTTATTGAATTACTAAAGATCTTAATTAATCTAAATATTTTCGTAGCAAACACAGCTGATACATACATTTCCATGAACACAAGTCAAACTTTAGCCATTCTATAAAGTAGCACCTAGCTGGGGCTATATATCTTAACTGCGGTCATTGAATGGATTTTTTTTTCTGAAACTTTTTTTTTTATTAATTTACATTCATTCCCTGAGCATCATCACAACATTCTAAATGTGGTTTCCCATCTAGAATATACTGCATAGTGGCTTAATAATGCATGTTATCATCCATAATATTCCATTTCTACTTTCATATATATGTTTTTTA